TAAATAGCATGTACATGAACCTTTTAAAAATGCATCACTTAATAGGCCACACTAGAGAAAGACTTGGGCCAGAAATTTTTTAAAGAGACAAGTGTTTCCATATCATCTATGTACCTACTTTTCTGAGCCTTTGTTTCCTCTTCTGAAAAATAGGCGACATGTCAACCCTTCTGCCTTGAGTGGGGAATCGGTGGGATTCCGGCTGGGCATAACAGTGCAATGGGGACTGAACTTCATGGCTACCCAAAGTTAGCCAAAAGTCCAGGGACACAACCCTCGGGGTTGATCATTCACTAGAAGGATGCACAGAACCCCTGCAAGCTGCCGTCCCCACGGTTATGGTTTATCACATGAAAAAATGCAGATTAAAGTCAGTCAGGGAAGAGGCTCATGGGGCAGTCTGGCAGGGTTCCAAATGCAAAGCCTCTGTTGTCCTCAGGAAGCCTTACCCTGCCAGCATCAACATGTGACCACAGAGTGCTGCCAGCCAGTGTCCCGAGTCTTTACAGGGCCTTCATTCTGTAGGAAGAGTGATTAATTGATGATTGCCCACTGGGAGACTGATTGACAGATGCCTTGTGATCCAAAGCCCCCATCCCACATTGCATGGTTGCTCTTTCTGACATGGTCAGACCCTATTCTAAACAAAGACCCCCAGTCAGACAGGATATAGATGACCTCCCTAAAGCCAAGAGCACCTGCCAGACCTCAATGTGGACCAGTGACCTCTTTACTATACATGGGGCCTGAAACACAGGGTGATACTGTTCCCACCTCCCTGACTTTGGATCCTGGGGAGTTTTACCTTCAGTTTTCCTGGCCATAAAACGAAGTCAGTTGCATTTCTCTCCTGAGGCTGCAGAGAACCAAGTTCTGGACTCTTCCAGCATGCACTCTGGGTGACTCTGGGGAATGGAACCCAGAGCTTTGTGTATTCCATGCAAACATTCCACCTCTGAGCTACATCCAGCCCCACACTCTTAATAAGAAGATCAAGGAATATGTTTTCCTGCTTTTTGAGTGACTCAGGGTTGTGTTTAAGGTAAGCCTCTTTCCTCTTTGGAACCTCGGTTTCCCATATGTAAAATGGGAAAATTGGGCTCAGATGACCCCAGGTCCCCTGCAGGTGGCAAAGGGGTCAAAGTGGGTGGCAAGGACTAATGTGAATCCCAAGTCTGCCTCTCAGCACAACCCTCATCTCCGCAAAACCAAGTGGCAGACTGGGCAGCCTGCAGGCGATTAATTGTCCTGCCCTGGAGGGCATCACTATGATTTCTTCTTCCTATGGAAGTGGCCATTGCAGCCGCCTCCCCCAGGCTGTTCTCTTGGATTGCACTGGGCTTGGGAGCACTCTGAGCAAGAGGCTCAGTGGGAGTGCTGGGATTTGGACCATGTTCTCGGCAGCTTAGATGCCATCCCTGCTCATTTCCAGGTTCTCAGTGGTTTTCTGGATAGATGAGGCAGCTGGGGAGGTGACTCTAGGGACACAAGAGGCGCTTACATCATCTCTGGTTCTGCAGTCCTCTAGGGACCATACTGGCTGGCATCTCTCCCAGACTCCAGAGCCATGGGCTGGATTCCTCCTGGCCAGACTGAAAGCAAAGCTCCAGCGAACTTACTGTGACCAAGGCTCATCAGTCAAGTTGTCTGGGGGAAACTGGGTGCTGAGCTGGCTCTGTGGCCCCTGCATCACCAGCCACACCTCAGCGGGCACCAAGGAAACCCTGAACTCCAGCCTTCTCCTCTCCTTGCCAGTTCTTATGAGCACTATCTTCACAGAAAATGTGGACCTCATTGGATGGGGTCCAGACGCAGGGAATTCCATTGTTCTGGCTGCTGCTGCAGCATCTGGGGGCCTGGTCCAGGCCTGGATATGTGCAGCTTTCAGCCTGGCTTTCCTCCCAGTGGCTACAGGTCTTAGGACAGCCATCCAGGAAACTCAGCCCAGACAATTCTTGGCCTGGGAGACAGCCCTGGGAAACTCCTGGTCTGTCTTGCCCCTCCCTCTGTTCCAGATTCTTCTGCCAGATGCTTTCAATGGCTCAGCCCTGAGTACTCTCTCCTTACGGTCTTCCTCTTCCTTGTCTTTAGCTCGAAAACCCCATTTCACTCAAAGAAAGAAAGGAAAGTGAGTGCAGTAGCCTCACTCATGGCTGGTGATTGCTGCTGATCCTGGGAAGAAGGCGAGCCTCTGAAGGGGGCTGAATCCTGGTTCTGATTGTGTGGTGATTCTCTGGGCCTTCTAAGCAGTGGTAGGACCCAGAGTCCAACTGTTCCTTCTGTAAAGTGGGGTTAAGTCTCAGCCTCTAGCCATAGTTGTGCCAGGATGGGCAACACTGTGTCAGAGAACCACCACTACTCTGGCCACAGTGCAATAGAAGGCTTCTTTCCTGCCCTGTCCCCCAGGTGTCTTCTGTCCCTCCTAGGAGCTGGGGCTGTCAGTTCCAGTGAGCTTTCCTCTCTAGCACTAGATTCCTCAGCATTTCAGACCATATGTTGGAGGTCTCTTTTTCTTCCTTCGGGAACTTCTCCTTAGGAAAAGTTTTCAGTGACCAAACACACTACAATGTTAGTCCATAATTAACTCTCTTGCATTTCGAATCAGGGAAACAGACACTTGCCACATAAACTCTGAGGTGTCCCATCTGTGTATTCATCTCTTAGGGCTTCTGCGACAAAGTAACACATACCTGGTGGCTTTAAACAGTAGAAAWGTATTTATTGTCTCAGTTTGGGAGACCAGAAGGCTACAATCAATAGGAGGCTGGTTTCCTATGAAAGTTCTGTGGAGAGGCAACCCCAGGCTTCCCTCTCACTTTCTAGTGGCTCCAGTTATCCTTGGCACCCTGTGGCCTGGAGACACACCACTCCAATCTCTGGCTCCATGTCAAATAGTGCTCTTCTCTCAGTATCTTTGTGTACCAATTCCTTTTTCTTATAAGGACACTATCTTTGAATCAGGGCTACCCTAATAATCCAGTATGGCCTCATCTTAACTTCCTAACATCTTCAAAGATCTTATTTCCAAATGAGGTTACCATGCCAAAGATTGAACTTAAACATCTTTTTTGGAGTCACAGTGCAACCTACTACATCTGAGTTATGTCACATTAGCAATGGGCTTTCTGGCCTTAGAAGAAAATACTCATTTTGTGAGGCATTAGGAAACATGGAAAGAAACTCCTGGACCCCATGCCTCCGTGGGTGGACCTTGGCAGGACTACAAGGCTGATGTTGGGGACACTTTTGGATCTGGGGCCAAGTAGGGATACTGGGGCTCTCTCTGTGGCTATGGGAGCTACTATTGATAATAGGACCCAGAACTTTCCCCATCCATGAGAACAGGCACTGTTCTGTTCATTCCCAGAAATGCAGAACCCTCAGGTCAGAATCTGTGGGGGAGGTATGGGGTAGGACTAGTATCCTCACTGTGCAGGTGAAGAGACAGGCCACCTGCCAAGGCAGTGTCGGATTAGGGGTGGACATCTTGCCCACCCCACCGCTCACAGCCAGCAGTTGCCTGGTGCCAGGGAAAGAATTTACCTGGCCAGACACCAACCCACTCCTGGAGTTGGCCTTGGTCTTAAGATCACAGCAGGGCCTTCATTCTGCCTTGTGGCCCCAGCAGCCTTGGATACATTGGAGAAAGAAAAGCTGGAGCCAAAATCCCCCTGAGTCCCTGGCCTTTAGAGACCAAGAATGTAACTTCCCTCCTCCTGCTCAGGCCACTATTTCCCAAGTGGTGTCTCCAAGCTATCCAGAGAATGGAAACCACAGCTCTGCAATGGCCTCTTGTCCCTGGGCTTTATCACAGGAAAACAGGCAAGTCAAGACAGATAAGTAAAGGACAGGTCTCCTGGCAAGCTACTGCCAGCCTGCCAGGAAGGGCCCCCATCTGCCCATAGAGCTGACCAAGCCCAGCACAGTAGATGGAAGAGTCCAGGTGTGGAAACCTGTTTCTCAGAACTCAGGAGGTCCTGAAATAAGGCCCCAGGGCAGTGAGCAGGCAGAGCCAAGAGGATGTACCCACTGCTTCTGGGGTGAGGAGGGAAGGATGTGTCCAGGGTCCATGTGTCCATGTGTCCAAGGACACCTATTGTGTGTCCATCCTCCTCTGTTCTATAAGAAGTGTGACTGAGTAACAGTCAGGACCCCAGGATCAGGCACTGTCTTTATCTCAGGTCTTAAGAGATTCAACCTTCCTCAAAAGGAGGCCAAATGGGAATTGAATGTACCCGCCACCCCTTACACTCGCACTGTTATGGCTTATCTGCCAGGCCTTGGTATTTCACAGGCACTGCACCTCTATTATACCCTATCAAAGACATGAATGCACAAGGAGTTTAAGTAACTTGCCCAAGATTGCACAGCTGCAGGTAACCAAACTAGGCTCAGAATCCATTCATGCCCATCCTACAGACAGGCCACTTGGCCCCTTGTGGGGTTCTGCAATCTGGACTGCCGGCTGTGGGGGAGGTTGGTCCAATCCCTCTAGGCCGGACCCCCGCAGTAAGCTTGCAGTAAATGTGCAATTATCGAACCGACGGGGGAACACACGGGGAGAATACAGGAAACGTTCCAACCTCGGGGTCCAAGTTGCTACCAATGAGTAACCTCCCCCGACTTTGGGGCTAGGCGCCCCTCCCGAGGGCCAGAGAGCGGGCGGAGCCTCTGCCTACGGGCCAATGACAACGCAGGGGCGGTGCATGTGGGCGGGGCGAACGGTCCCTGGGCAATGGGCGGGCGGAGGAGTGCAGGGGCGGGGCCATGGAGCTAAAGGACCAATGGAGATGCACTGGCGGGCGAGCGGGGCACGTTGGAGGGTGGGACAGGCAGGCAGCGAGCCAATGATGGGGAGGGGCGAGGCCTGAAAACAGGAGGGGGAGACGGGGAGGTGCCCTCGCGCGGCGGACCAATACCTGCGCGGGGGTGGGCCCGGCGGGCGGGCGGGGGCGCCGAGGGGGCGGCGGCGGCGGCGGCGAACAAAGAGGCGGCGGGCGCGGGCGGCCGAGCGGAGCCGAACGCAGCCGAGCCGGGCCGAGCCGGGCCGGGCCGGGCCGGGCCCAGGAGCGCGCGTGCGATGCGGGCGACCAAGCGGGGGTCGGCGGGTCCCTGAGCCCGCGCCAGCAGCGAGGGAGCCCGCGCGGCGCCGCCCGCCGAGGCGCGGGGCCGCCATGGCCGGGGTCAGCTACGCGGCGCCCTGGTGGGTGAGCCTCTTGCACCGGCTGCCCCACTTCGACCTGCGGTGGGAGGCCACCAGCAGCCAGTTCCGGCCCGCGGACGCCGACTATCAGCAGGTGACGCGCGCCCCCGGCTGCGGGGTCAGGGCCCGGGTCGCGCCTTCTCCGCTCCATCCGGGGTCATGTCCCCTCCATCTGGAGGGTCTCCTCTGGCCTTGGGCCCTTCCTCGGGGTTCCAGATACCTTCCAGCCCATCCGGGGTCACCACTCAGGTCCTTCCCCTAGAGGGTCTCTTCTGTGTCCTGGGCCGTGTCCCGGGCCCCCTCCTAGGGGTACAGATGCCCTTCAGCCCCCATTCAGGATAAGGGCCCCTTCCAATGGAGGTTCTCCTCTGAGTCCTGGTCCCCCTTCTCAGGGGTTCACATACCCTCCAGCACCCATTCGGGGTCAGGGTCGGTCCCTTCCAGTGGAAGGTCTCTGGGTCCTGGGTTCCTCCCCAGAGTAGTAAGACTCCCCACCCCTATCCAGTGTCACAATCCCTTCCTTCTGGAGGGTTTTCTGTGGGCCATGGGCCTCTTCAAGGGTCTAAATACTCTCCTGCCCCTATCGAGGATCCTCAGCCCCCTCCAAATTCTGGCTTCCTCTTGTGTCAACAAGGCCCCTGTTCTGGGATAGTGGAACTGCCTTCCTCCCCTCCGTGGAGCCCCTCTGCTWGCTGTGGGTTCTTGCCCCCAACCCCTCCTTAAAGACAGGCCAGTACCCCAGGTTCCCAGCAGACCCCCTTACCCAGGGCTCCAGGGCTCTGAGAACCTCAGCACCCTGGTGCAGGAGGGGATTCCTCGCCCCCTCAGCCTCAGCTGGGGAATCCCGCTGCCAGGCTTTTGGTGGGTAAGTAGCCTGGGCAGATGCCAGCCCTCTGTGGCTGGTAATGACCCCCTGCTCCGCGGTCAGGCTGTGGGATGTACACACAGTGCGTGTGTGGCTGTTGGAGACTAGGCTGCCAGCAGCCCTTGGGGGAGGGAGGCCTGGCTGAAGGGAGGCGAATGGGCCTCATTCTGGGAGGCTGGAAGGAACTGAGCCCAGGCAGAGCTGAGGGAGCAGTGGGGGCCCATCTCAGCCCTCTCCCAGTGGATCTGGAGGCTTGGCCTCATTCCAAGTCCCAGCACCACCCCCTTGGCTGAGCCATTGTCACTTGGGTGCAGGGGAATGGGCTGTGAGCTTTTCCTTCCTGTTTGGGGATCCAGATTCCAGAAGCTCCTTGGCTAAGGTGCCTGGTCACCCTGAGCACCTCAGGGTTCTCCAGTGGGTCACAATAGAGCCCCATGGTTGTGTGGGGATCCGGTATTCTGGAGCCGTGTAGCGCTTGCTATTCAGCTCTGTCCTCTGCAGCCTCCCTTGTCCAAAGGAGGAAAACCGGAAGTAGAGGGTAAGGCAGTATGGGAGCTTCTGCTCCCACTCCGTGCTTACCTGACCCCAGGTCCCCCAGCTTCTAAGCAGATTAGAAAGGGGGCAAGAGATTGGCCTAGGCACACCCAGGGATAGCAGAAGGAAGGACATGTGGAGCCCCAGGAGGATTTGTGTAAAGCCTGGGCCTGGGGCCATTCAGTGTGGGGCAACCTGTGCTTCTTGTGCTCCTAGGACTGTCCGGCGTGGTGGCTCTGTCACGCTTCTCCCTGGAGGGCTGTTGAAGCAGGTGGATGTGCTTTACCTGGAAAGTTATCTGCCCTGAGGGTTGGCCCACTTCTCAGTCTGAAGGTCAGGGGCCCCTGGCACCTAGATGGCTGTTTCCTGTGGCCTGTGGGCTGCCACCTGCTCATGCTGCCAGCCACAGTTGAACTTGCTGCCAGCCCTCTAGGGTGCCTCTGTTCTAGCTCTCAGGTCAGGTGCCTGCAGCCCACAGAAGCTTGGGGGTGCTGGCTGGGCCCCACAGTCAGCCTGGCTCCCGGCAGGGCGCTGGTTTCTGCCCCCTTTCCTGCCCTACTCCATGGTGGGAGGGCGCTGACTCACTTCTCTCTAAGGAGCAGAATTAGCCACTGAATAATTCACGGTGTGGAAACCAGCCTGTCTCCTTCCCCCGCCACCTCTGCCTCTGGCAAGGGGCTGTGGATGTGTGTCCTGCCCTGCCCTCCGTGTGCTGTGCCTTTAGGTGGGCACCAGGTGTCTTTAAATTCATCCTGAAGTGGGACTGGTGTGCCTTACATGAGGGTGCCAAGGTGGGAGCAGAGCTGGAGCTTCCTTCCAGAGTGGGTGGGTGATGCTAAGGCATTCCTTGCCGTGGGACTGGCTGCCCGACTCCTGGGGTGACCCTCACACATGCTGTCCTGGGCCCCCTCCTCAGCCTCTGTGCCCTGCTGAGAAGAGCTCTGTCTCTCTGCCCATCCTGGGGCAAGGTGGGGCCAGGAGTTGGGCCCTGCCGTGGGAGACCAGTCTTGGTCCTTTGCTGTTCCCTGCCCCTGTGACCCACTGTCAGGATCCCTGGTGAGATCCACCCTGKGGCTGCCTGTCACTAGCCCCCTTTCACACAGCCTAGACCTGGGCACAGTTGTCTCCATTATACAGATCAGCAAGCTGAGGCTCAGAGTGGGCTGGCTCAGCATTAGCCAGTGAGCAAGCTGGGGAGCCAGGCCTTCCTCAGAACTCTTGCCTCTGCCTCTCTAGGGGCCAGTCAGTCCCGGGCCGCTGCAGGGGTTCAATCTGTGGAATTGGGATTGATGAGGCTGTTCCAAGGTTGCCACAGGGGCCTGCCGGAACCAGGAACCCAAACAAGTGACTCCCCACACTGTCACCCCCAGACGGCCCTACACTGGGGACCCGCAGTCTTCTCCAGTGTCTGCACCCTACAGTGTGAAGGTTTCTTTGGACTGAGTATCTCAGGCCACAGCATTCCCAAGGCCCCTTTTTGGGAGAGTGGTCCCTATGTCCACCTCTTGGTTGCAGAGTGGATGGAGTGTGGGGAGTCACCTGTTTGGGTTCTTGGGGGCTAGTGACATGTTCTTCCTAAACCAGGCTGCTGGCTGCACTTCTCTAGGGCCAGCTTGTCCCCAGGGTGCCCCAGCTCTCCCTGCCTCTGCTGTGGCTGCAGGCCTCAATGGGGGGACTTCTCACTCACAGGGAAGAGCTGGAGGCTTAGCGGGTCAGGCCCTTCCTTGTGGTCCCACAGCAAAGCAGGCAGCACTGCTCTAGAGGCCTGGTGACTGAGGAGACTTGAGGCCATCCTGTCCTCTAAGTGAAAATACTACTTTTGTATGTGGGGGCCTGTCCTGGCTGCCTGTGGTCCCCAGGCTTGGGTAACAACCTTCTCTTGGGCTGCTGTATGGGCACCTTTGGTGGGGCCTGCATCCTCGTTCTGTCTTTCCCACTMGCTGACCTTGGGTGACCCACCCACCTCTCTGGGGTGGGAGTCTGTTTCCTCATTTCCTACCAGTCCTGATGACCCAGCATGACCCTGTGTCCTTAGGCAAGGATCAAGTTCACACTGCGTTCAGCAATATACTGGCTTTCAGGTAGATGGTGGCACTTTCTTCAGGTTTGCCTAACATGTGGGGCCATTTACTATTAAAGCTCTAAACTCTCAGGTGTTTCCATTGAGACCCCAGTGATAAGACTGAACTTGAGAAGAGGGTCACAGGCATTGGAAACAGTGTGTGCAAAGGTCCTGAGGCAAAGGAGCCCAGGAGAGGGAGGCCAGCTGGTCCACAGGAAATTCCCAGCATTCTGCAGGGGATTGCACTGCCCCATGGGTGTGGGGTGCTCTGTGCAGAGGTGTGTAGCCCACACTGTGGCCACATAGAGGGATTTATGCTTTGGGTTGAGTGGCCCTCAGAACTGGTAAGACCACAGTCCCTGGGCTTACAAGGTCAGCTGCAGGCCAGTGGCAGAGGCCACATCCTCTGGGTAGGGCTGGCCTTGTTGTCATCCTCCCGAGTACTCAGGAAATGAGCTCTGGTTGAAAAGGCAGCGTTATCACTGTCGCCTGTCTGCCAGCTTACAAAGGCAGGACACGTCCATGGGCCACAGGGGCGGGAGGAGCTGCAGGAAGACAAAGAAGCCCCTCACACTGGGGTCTGTCTTGCACTGGATTTGTGGGGAGGATGCTGCTTGAAACCAGAATCATGCTGTGTACCTTCTTGTCATCTGCTTTTGGGACCATGTGTGCTTTCCACATGTCTGTGGCCTTGGGTCCAAATGCTTGCCCAGCATTCCACAGTGCTACTCAGGATTCTGAAGTTACAAGTGACAGAAGTGTGCCAAGCACAGAGTGCTCAGGGAGCTGGGCGGAAGCTTCTAGAGCAAGCCTGAGAGGGCAGGAGCTGATGGGCTCCACTTGGGAGGCAGGGAAGCCCCTGGCTGGGTCATCACCTACCTTGGGGCCAGGGAAGGGGTAGGCTATGAACCCTGGGCCACCACCGGGCCCGCTCCCACTGGGGTCAGGTACTGGGGCCCCTCTTGGCTTGGCTTCCCACCTGTTATCTGAAGGGCACTGTGTTGCCACACTCGGCCCTGATGTCCACCTTTTCATTGGCACTGTTGGGGGTTTTTTTATGTTTATTTTTTAGTTTTAGGTGGACACAATATCTTTATTTTATATTTATGTGGTGCTGAGGATCGAACCCAGTGCCTCATGCATGCTAGGTGAGCCCTCTACCACTGAGCCACAACCCCAGCCCCTGGCACTTAGTTTTTAAGACTCAGAAGGTGCAGTGACCAGCCCCGTGCCCAGGAGTCTGTGGATCTTTAAGCATTTCCTTAGGGTACAGTTTTGGACTCTTGCAAAGTCCCAGAGACGGCAGATCTTCAAGAAGGCTTCTCTGAGTGTGCGGGCCTGGGGTCAGGTCACTGCTCCCTTGGCTCCCTGGCTACAGCCAGCCTAGGGGCCACTCCAGCTGTCTGTTTCCAGGCTCTTCTTGCAGGAATCTCCATCCCGACACCTCCAGGGGCCTACCCTGCACAGTGCTGCACTCGCTGCCGAAGGTACCTTAGCTCTTCTGGCCACTGGCTGGGTTCGCTTGGTCGGGCTCTAGGGGAGTGGAGTGCTCCGTGGTTTTGACACTAGGACATGGCCACTTTGCCCAGGGGGTTTTATGCTGTTTCAGTTTGGTTTGTTTTTTTAACATTTT